CCTTCTGTGGATTTCAATGTATATTAACTGCAGATTTGACAATGACTTAGAATTTTAGAGAAAGTGAAATTAGAGATAACAGCTTGAGTATGGTACTAAACAGGTTGGAGATGATGGTCTGTTTCACTGGGTTTCCTGTCTCCTTTGAGCGATGAATATTGGTAAAGAATGAGTATATATATAATATATATAATATAATATAATATAATCTATCACCCTCATCCTACTCTTGGTCTCATCTTTATTCTCTGCCTTGACTTCCATTCTCTTTTAGCCTCAAGGTCTTTCCTGTTCCCCAGGTGTCTGCTGATTGGGAGGAGGGCAAACTGCTATAAAAATTTAAACAAATATATAACATTGTTTTTAGTTTAGTAATGAGTTAATTTGAGCAAAGCTACTAAGTATTTACTGTCTTTTTACTTTCAGTCTTCACAGATAGAAGCAGCTTTAGATAACAAGTGCAGTTGGCAGCAAAACTAGGAAAAGAAACAAACAGTCTAGAGTAGCAGAAGAACAGGTTAGCGATTACTTAGAGAAGCTAGATGCTTTCAAGTTGGCAGGGCCAAATTAGATGAGCCCTAGGGTAGTAAAGGAATTGGCTGATGTGATTTCAGAGCTACTGGGTATCCTTTTAGAGGACCTGTGGAGATCACATGAGGTTTTGGATGATTGGAAAGGACAAATATAGTGCCCATCTTTGAACAGGAAGGAGGAAGATCCAGAGAATTAGACCAGTCAGTCTGACCTCCATACCTGGAAAGATCATGGAGCAGGTCCTCAAGGAATGTATTGTGAAGCACCTAGAGGAGAACAAGGTGATCAGGAACAGCCAGCATGAATTCACCAAGATTAAGTCATGCCTGACCAACCTGATTTCCTTCTATGATAAGATGACAGGCTCTGTGGATGGGGGTGGTGAAGAGCAGTGAATGAGATAAATCTTGCAGTAAAGTAAAAAGGTTGGGGCAATTTGGGCACCATCTCCAAATATCAACTATGAGGGGGTGCCAGTATGGCCCCCTCCCCTCAGGAGTCTTTGCCACAGCAGGGGCAGCCCTACATGCCTAGAAATCCTACACAGCTCCATGCCCCATAATGTATCTGGGGAGCAGGAAAGGGAGTGGAATTTCACCACCCCTGGGGAGAGTTTTCCATGGGAGGCACAGGCCTGACCCCAGAGGTGGAGTGTGAACATAGCACCAAGAGCACCCTCAGAGAGCTTGCACCACTGCCTAAGCCTCAGCAGCAGCAGCGCAAGCTCATGCTGTTATGACAGCATCAGTGTGGGGGTTTGGTCTACTGTAACCTCCAGGTGCTTTCTGCAGTACTGCAGCCTAACCAGTTACTCCCCAGCCTCTATTTGTGCATGCAATTATTCTGTCCCAAATACAGGACTTTGCACTTGTCCTTATTGAATCTCATCTGATTGACAGCAGACCATTCATCCAGCTTATTTAGGTCATTCTGGACCCTACCCTTATCTCCAGAGTATCTGCAACTCCACCCAACTTGGTGTTGTCCATGGATTTGCTAAGTGTGCACTCAATCGTATCGTCCAAATTATTAATGAAAATATTAATACCAAACCCAGGACAGACCCAGGGGAACCCCACTTGTTACCTCCTAGCAACTAGAAGTTGAGCCACTGATGACTACTGTTGAGCACAAAGATCCAAGAAGTTTTCTTACTCATGTTGCAGTTCTTTCACCTGGTCTGTATTTCCTTAGCTAGTGTAAGAGAATGGTTTTGAGAGACAATGTCAAAAGCCTTGCTAAACTCAAGGTATTTCACATCGACATGTGTGCTTAACTTCATCTGTTGTGAATAGTTCACTTGATTTCAAAATTAGGCAAACTGTATAAGCAGGGACCAATACCTTTATTTGATGGCCAATTTTAACTAAGGGATTAATTCCGGGGCGGGTAAAATATGGCCTGCAGGCCAGATCCAACCTGCCAGGCCATTTTATCCAGCCCACAGGGCCCCTCAAAGATTTAGAAAATTAATATTTATCTGCCCCTGGCTCCTATCAAAGATGCTCTGTGGCTGCTCTACATGGCCACTGCTGCTGTGCTGGGCAGCACAGAGGTGGCAGTAAGGCAGCCGCACAGCAACCTAGCGCAGCATGAGCTCCAGGCGCGCAGCTGCAGCAAACACTGTCCAGTGGTGGTGAGCAGGGGGGCCACTTTCCTCCGCACTGAGCAGCAGTTTCTGGGGAACGAACTGGTGCTCAGCACAGGGGAAAAGCAACCACTCCTCCTCCCCATGGCCAATGCCCCGTGCTGCAGCCACTCGGAGCCCATGCGGGGCTGCCTGTGCCTGCTCTCCGTTGACACGGCTGGGACAGCTGTGATGCAGCAGAGAGGCAGGACAGCCCCACATGGACTTTGGCTGGCTGCAGCAGGGAGCACCAGTGGCGGAGGGGAAGGGGGGTGCTTTTCCTCCCACGCTGAGCACCATCCCCACTGCCACTGCTCAGTCCAGACAGACAAGCACAGGGCGTATGGGGTCGGGTCTGCACACCTGTCCCCGCCTGTACCACGGGTCTGTACCACAGAGCTGGGATGGGGGCACTGGAAGTGAGCAAGTGCATGGGAGCCAGCAGCAGTCAAGCAGGAGTGTGAGGCCCATGCTGGTGCCCTGGGGCCAGCACCAGCAAGGCCCAGAGCAGGGCATCAGGAGCACAGGGTCCCGGCCAGCAGGGGCTCTATGGAACCAGGTCAGCTCCCCCCTCTCGCTGCTGGTGCAGCCCAGACAGACCCCTGCCAGCCCACACCCCGTGCTCCTACTGCCCCGCTCTGGGCCCCGCTGGTGCTGGCCCCAGGACATTGGTGTAGGCCCCATGCTTCTGCACACCGCTTGCTTCCACTCCCCTCCTCTCCCCTCCCCACTTTCCCCACTTTCCTGCCCACCCACCTGCCAGCCACTCTGCACTACATGGCTCCCATACCCACATCCATACTCATACAAACACATCCACACATCCCCACAAGCCCCCATATGCAATCACTTCTGCATAATACAGCACAAACCCACACAAATCAGGACAAAAATATTTTTTAAATTAAATTAAAATATATTATTATGGATTTTTAGTATGTGATTTGTTTTTTTTCCCTAAGATGGCAAACCCTCTTCCCCAAAGAAGTACTTCCAGGGGCAAGAGGAGGGACTTCCAGTGGCTAAGGTCAGAGGTTAGGGGGCGGGAGTTCCAGCCCCAAGATGGTGATCAGGGGACAGGGCACCTATCAAGAGGCAGGGCTACCCATGCAGCCCTTGACAACTTGCCAAAACTCAGTAAGTGGCCCTCTGCCCAAAATAATTGCTCACCCGGATTAATTCCATTCATACTATATGAAATAGTAAAAGTGGAACACTTAAGTTTTTATTTCTATTATAAAAAAGTTTAATGGGGAGGGAATGGGTTATTTAAAAAGAATTCCAAAAACAATAATAAGGGCTTATTTGAAATATACCTGGAAACAAAATTCCAACAGCCTTAATGGCTCATGTTTAAACTGTTGAATACTCCTTTTGGTCACTGGTTAAAGTTCATGTCTTATTCCATACTATAATCTTGGTAAAGAGTGAGTACATTTATAAGTATTCAGACCAAATAATAAAGATCCAGAATTTTAGTATTTGATGTTCTCCAAAGAGTTTTCAGTAGAAGGCTTATTATGATTTCTGTTAGTATGTACTTTACCTAGAAGTAAAAAGTTCAAATTTAATAAGAGTTTTGCAGTGAATACTTCTCATGTTGCTTAAATATAGGAAAGGTTGATGTCACCTGTTGGCAAGATGGAGAACTGCGAGTTTTTATGCAGCAAATCTGGAGATTGCTGATGCCATCTATTGGTGAGAATAGTACAGCAAAGTATTCTCATTTGCATAATCCCCCAAAAGGTATAATAGGAAAGTGAAGGTATGATCCTTCAAAGCACTAATCACTCTGTCGGAGCCATGTAAGCATTTAAGCACAACCTAAATGAAAGTTATAGTGATTGTCCCATTAACTACAATACTCATATACTTAATATTAAGCATGCACTTAAGTGTTGAATTGGCCCTAGGTGATTTTCATTTTGCAAGACAAAACCCTTCATTAGTAGTAACTACTCATTCTATTATTTGTTTCAGAGTCTCAAAATCATCAAGTTAGTCTTTATGATAACCTTAAGTTTGACACTACTAAAATATGAGAAGAAATCCAGTACATAGTTCTCTGATCTGATTATATGAAGGTGCATTAGACTATCCTTGAACATATTTCTGCAGAATAGTATTCCTTTTCAGTTTCCGAAACCGCCCATTAGGAAACCTCATAGGCTGTGACAACAAGAAAGAATCTTTGCAGAAAACATCTTACAGGGCATACTTGCTTTTGAAATACTAAATATGCCCTGTGGTGGATGGATGGATATAAAAGTGAACAGCAGTAATAGTACAACACGCGAATTCTATCTATCTGCTAATGATGCAGAAGATATCACTTATGGTATATTTCCCATGAAGAACTGTATTTTGTCTTTATGTTCTACTTAATAAAAAGAAATAGATTAGCAGAATTTGTATGTTGCCTAAACAAACTACAGTAAAATCCCTGTTAACTGGAATGAGTGGGGAATGAGGGGTGCTGGATATCTAAAAATGCCAGTAACCTGAGGAGCACGGGTTTCTGGATGCATGTGGAGCGGGGAGGGTGGAGGAGAGGAGAGTGGTGGCGGCTGAACATGGAGCAGGATGTGAGGGCTAGCGGCAGCTGCATACAGAGCAACAACCTTACAGGGTAGTAGGTGGCAGTGGCGGCTACTGCATGCGAACTTTCCCCCCTGCGTCCCGCCGGCTGACTGGAAATTCTGGTTAATAGAGTGTTCCAGATAGTAGAATGCCAGATAATAGGGATTTTACTGTATTATAACTGTTGGGTACTTCTGTCAAAATGTTCTTTTATCACAATAGTGGGAAAGAACATTTAAGAGAAATTAAGCTTTCTTACCTTGCTTTGGAACGATTTTGTCTACAAGGATGCCAAATCCATGTAATTTTAGGCTGAGGAATACCATAAACAGTGCAAGTCAGCACTTGATTGCTGCCCACTGGATAGAGATTAGGATCAGGAAATGATGACACAGCATTTTCATAAATCTGAGGTTTCACTGTAAAGGGCAAAAATGGAATAGAAATCAGAATAGTCAATCTTTAGTAACTGTATCACCCTGAAAACAAAACAACCCTCTACAGTTTAAAGTTAGGAAATCCAGCTATCCATATCTACATGTGTGATTAATGAGACTGAATCTGAATCTGATTCAGTCCAGCATGATTTGAAGCAGAGTAAACTAATCTAGAGGTCATCGTCTATACATGTGTTTAAGATCAGTAAGTTACTCCACCATTAGATAGTATTTGTGTCAGATATGAATCTCTGATGGTGCAGTAAATTTGTCTACACTGGCCTAATTGCTGCGCACATGTAGATGGTGACACTTTACTGCACAGCAAATTGGTCTACTGCACAGTAAAGCTCATGTGTAGGTGCACCTGCTGAGAACTAAATAACACCAATGGGACAAAGTACAGTGGGGTGAATACGTGCTAAAACTGTTTGTGTAATGAAAAACTAAGTCACTGGAGACACTGGTGTAATCAGTATACAGAGGTATAATGAGCCATTTTCGCATCTTGGGCAGAGATTCTGCCAAGTGCTAGGGAGCAGTGCAGGGGAGGGGAGCCAAGTGCCAGGAAGCAGAGGTGTGCAGTTCCATTGACTTCAGCATCATTCAGTCCATCTGCACAGGAACAAGACTTTACTTCCGTGAACATTCCCAGTGACATAAACTGTGTAAATTCAAGCCTCAGCTGGGGAAATGGCACTTACAAGTTTAATAGCAAAGTAGAAATGTACTGCAAACTTACCATTTACTATGAGAGTGACTGTTAGGTTCTTAGATAAGTTCCACTGTCGTATATTCAGAACTATAGTGTAATCTCCTGCATCCTCTTCAGCTACATCCTTAATGATTAATGAATAATCTTTAACCACATACCGTGCACACTTTTCAGCAGCAGGTAATCCATCTTTTAACCTTTAAAAGAACATTATAATGCGGTGTTATTACATGGGTATTTTTCATATTAACTACATCCTAGGAATTGAACATCCTTGTACTGACATGATCTTAAGCTATGGGCTTCCATGCCAGCCCAAATATGGTCTTCAATAGCCAGAAGAAAACAAGATTTTGAAAATTAATTTTGCTTAAAAAGCCTGTATTCCTTTATTTCATGCTTCTTCTTAAGCTTTAGACTAGGATCAAAAGTAGCCTCTATAATCTTTGATACATTCTATGTCAGTGGTATAGCTTCCACTCCCAGAGGGAAGGACTCAATTAGTTAATACCTATGAAGTATATTGAAGAAAAATATTCTGTGTATGAATATGATCTAACAGGGTCATGTGATAAGATGTCCAACCTTTGATTGTTGAGACTTATTCTTAATAATTCTTAATAATACATATGTGCATACATACATATGTGCAATGGTATTTTTATCTCTTAAGATAACACTTCCATCTCTTAAAAGAAAACTTAAGGTTATCTTCTGTTGCTTATCCCTAATTTAAGAGACCCATTCTGGGATCCTTACACATACTAGGGTTATCTGTAATCAGTGGGATTAATCTAGTGAGTAAAGTTTACTTATACAAGCAAAGGCTGTTATATTCAGCCCCACACTATTCCTTCATCACCTCACAATATTTTCCAGGTTAAAGAACTCTGATATTAAAAACATTACTGATTTCAGGTGGGGGAAAAGAGCAAGTGGATTAAATGAACATTTAAGAATGAGATGTCCTATCTTCATGCAGACAACTTTAAAAAGTGGAAAAATCAATGGAAAAAACACAAGCCATTACATATATAGATAAATATTTTCAAAGATTTACAGTTCTTCAATGGCTTGATGCAATAACTTTGTTATCTTATAAACAGAAGATTTTCTACTTTGGTGATTCAGTCAATTAAATTAAGGAGTTTGCCACTGGATTCTTACGTTAGTAAACCTTTAGGGTTAGGTCCTGCAGGCCTTATACAAGCAATGGAAATATATTCTTTTAAAAGACTGTATGTAGATTTAGAAGTTTGATTTCATGTATTTTATCAGTCCTGCTTCTATAGGACTATAGGAGAACAAACCACTAAAAAATTTAAAATATTTAATAATGGCTAATGACAGTTTCATTTGCCCCCTTCATTTTCCATTTGGATCTGTAAACTCCGATGGGGGAGATTAAAACAAAACACAAATGTTAGAAGCAAAAATAAATTCTGGCTGAGAGTAATGTGAACTTGCACAGTTCATGTATGTATGGATTGTTTTCCTAATCAGTCTTGTCACACACCCTTTGTTAAAATGTAATGAATTGAGCCAAAGCTATTGCCATTTAAAACCATTAAAAAAAAACCTTGAGATCATGAATAGATAACATTGTTTTATATAAAGGTGCTTGGACCAATACAAAATCTGCTTAAAAGATTTTTTAATATAGCATATTTGGGCCAAGGAAAAATCTTAACTCATGAAAGTAGATATTGAAACTATATAAAAAAAATGAAGCTGGCCTCCACTGTTATTCAATTTATGTATTTATTCTTTTTTTCATTTATTCTAAGAAAGCTTTATTTCTTTCTAGTGGTTTCAGGTATTGAAATGAGCAAATATAGTCTTATGGTTAAATGACAGGTTCAGAATATCAGAGCTGAGTCTGCTAGTTTTCCTGTGTGACCCTGGCATGGCACTTAGGCCCTGATTTTTTTAAAGGTAGTTAGGCCTTTAATTTCCATTGATCTCAAATGGGAGTTAGACACCTACATACCTTTGGAGATCGGGTGGCCTTGCTATGCCACCATTTCTCTGTCTATAAAATGGAGATAACATTTTCATAACTTACTAGCACATTGTGAGGAGTAGGGTCCTGCTCTAGCAAAACAATTAAGCATGTGATTTCCTTTTAATTCAGTGAGTAGGCAAATTGAAGTCAATAGGTCTACTAGGATGCTTGAAAGTAAGTGTATACTTAAGTTCTTTAGTTAATTAATTAACACTAACTATTCTGAAATATTCAGTTGGAACGTGTGATAAAACTGCACAGCATTAATGATTTGACATTTGGACAAAATACTGAAACAAAATATCCTGAAATAGAAATAAATAAACCTGAGCAAAGATGTTATACCACCTAAGAAGTAGCTCCTGTATCTATGTGGAAGTAACTGTAATCCTACCATACAATTTCTGGTGTAGGAAATGCCTTCACTTTCATTGATAGCCGATAGGACTTTCTGCCAGCTACAGCTTCAAGCACACTTTTTCTTCGATGTTTCAAATTAATAAATGTTTTATCTTTAAAAAAAGAAAAAAAGGAAAGTTTACATCACTGATTTTTACACAAGACAGCATGCTTATCACAGAAATTAAAAAGCATCAGAGAGGTAAATTTTAAAAGATTCAGGAATCTAACAAGGCTGTCTAATCATTTGGGAGATCCATGGTTTCCCAGACCAAGACTAAACCCTGGGTTACCAGAGATCTTCAGTTATAAAATCTGGCTTTTTACAAAACCTAAAACAGCCTAAAAATATTCAGGAATTTAGGGCTTGGTCCATGGGCCACAAACTCAATTTGAGAAAATATATATATCAGCCAAATATAAATTATGCTGGAATAAAAAACAAAGTTATTGCGCTATATAAAGAGGTAAGTGAAAGAAATATAAGGCCAAATCATATTCCATCTATTAGGTGCATAAGTAAATTTAATGCCAAAATCTAGAACTCTTGGTTCAGAGTAAGTAGGTAAATTTAGGCACTTAAGTATGATCCTATGCTAACCTGCTGAAAAACTGCCAGTACAAAAGCTGGGTGGGTTGTCTTCTTCCTTGCTACTTTTTTGTGACTTATTCTTAAGGCTAAGATAACAGCATGTTAGAAAAGTGGATGTATTAATGGATTTTCATGGACTCAAACTGGGTAGATTGGGATTGCATTTGGACAGTGAATTTAAGGGCCTACCAGATGGAGTAGGATCTGTTCCTTTGTGAGCTGTGATAGCAGGTTAGATTAGATGAGCTGGTTGTCTATTCTGACCTTAGTCTCAACTGAATTTATGTATATTTCGAGGAAAACTTTCCTTAGGAAGAGAGTAAACCCACTAGTAACCCACTCATTAATACCAAGAGGGTTCCCACACAAGTGATTCCTGATAATCTCAACAGCAAAGATACATCATGAAGACACCGTCTCTAAGGCAGCCAGTTCAAAACAATTTTAGGTTAGAACCAACACCTTGACTTTTCCCTGGAATGTTACTGAAAGCCACAGCAAATCACTGCGTGCATCCACATGTGCAATTAATGTGAAGCAATAAACTCCAGCACAGTTTACACCAGAGTTTATTGTTCCTGGACACTACATTTATACATGTCCCTGGGACTGCAGCACATTGAGCCAGGTTGGAGCAACACCAGCTGGCAGGGGCCTGGTGGGGAGAGTCCCTGCATTGAAATACCCTCATGCCCCAGGCCAATAGTATCTACACATGTGTTGCTGTGCAGTAAAGAATGCCACTAGAGGATAATACTTGTGTTTACAAGTACTAACCTACAGTGGAGTTAATTACTTTACTGCAGTCTAATAGGTCCTCATGTATAGAGGCTGAGACTTTACTGCAGAGCTAATTAAATAGCTCCACAGTAAATGTCTTGTGTAGATGTGCCCACTGAACAATAGTTTAATGTTTCCAATGTCAACCTTCTCTTCATAGATGAACTGTAGTATCCATTGCTTACTTCAGTATGTGAATGGTCCCAAGGTGTAGAGCTCCATGTAGAGCTCATCCTATCAATGCACACATCAGTTGTGCTTAATAAGGAGGGAATTATGTGAAGTCAGAGATGTGGTTCTCATGAGTTTTCCCCTTAAAGAACTTTCATGAAATAAAATGTATATAGTTTGCATGGATATATGTAGATATAGGTTTCTTTGAAAAGAAACATTGTGATTCCTCTTTTTAAATTAAGCCTATAATTCATCTCTGTGAGAACTGCTAGTGACTACATTTGACAGAACCTATTGGTACAGGGTTTTGGGGCTACTTTGAAGACAAAAGTGATAAAATTGAGGCTAAGCTAGAAACTGCCAGTAAATAAAGCAGTATCTTGGAACAAATGCTACATATTCTGTTCACACACTCCCTTTTCTATCCATGGCTGGTGTGCCAAAATTCACATCCATTTTGGGCTTCAGTATTAAAGGTTTCTAACTATTGTTTAACTTTGCACATGGACAATGACTATTAAGCTTTCTACACGTCCACACTATATCTTACCATAAACACGAACTGTTGTGTTAACAGATTTGATTGATGGTCCACTCTTCACATAGCAGGTATACTGGCCTTCATCAATATCACATACTTTGTCAACAACTAGAATACTGTAAAAAATATTAGCTTCTGTATTTTTTTGGTCAATGCGTTGGGTTATAGAACCTCTCTTGTTTGCCTAGGAAGAAAATAAAAAGAAATATTAAGTCACAGGGGGAAATGTATTATTATTTAAATTGTAGCAACATCCAATATATTCTAAGCAATTTCTAAATACAGAAGAAGAGAGGCCTCACAGGAGCTGTGTAAGTCTCATGGGGGCCAGCAGCAAACCCTGTTGCATCCCTGGCTGCTATGATGGAGCCATTTAATGAACCTTAGGCTGCTAATGGCTATGTGGAAGGCATTATAGGGACTGCTGATGGAACCCAAGGTCCATGGGCAAATTTACAGGAGACAAAGGTATTAACATAAGAAGGAAAGAATTCTGAAAACAATAGAGGAGAAGTGACTAGGTTTGGCAAGAGAATAGGGTGGAACTGAAGATAATCTGAAGCTAAGGAGTTATTTCCTGTGAATCCCCCTCAGCCTTTGGCCTCAAAGTTTATTTAACCCAGGGACATTGTTATTGTCTTGTAAACAGTGAGAACCCTTAAGTTACCATCTAAATAAAAACAAAGCAGTATTTCATAGGGTGAAGTGTGATGTTAAATTAGGCTCAGTAAGGCAAGAAGGTGCCAATATAACACACCAATACAGCACACTTAGAGAATTTTTTGTTGTTAAGTTATTTATTTCCAAGTTGGAAAATGCCTGTGAAAACAGCTATAGTGTGTTAGAAGCTGCTACATTAATCTTTCTTTTAAAATGTAATCATAATTTTGGCTTGTGATTAGGCACAATGAATGACATAATAAATGATCATGACTTTAATCAGCAGCATAAATCAAACTGACATGAAAGGAGTGGGAGTTGTAAACCTTAAACTAATGTCAAATTTCTTATCAGCTTAACACGGACTCCCTGGCAGTTGTTTCATAAATGACAAATATTTATGAGGATGCTCCCAATTTGGGGGAGGGGAAGTACATTCAAGATCATTCTTGTAGTTGTCAAAACAAGAGGATTGTTCGTGTGACATTTAACAAATGAGATCTTGGCTAGCTGAATTGTAATATCTTTTCTAAACATGCTTGAGCTGGGTGCCTGACTGTCTGCCAGGCCTTTAAATGAATGTGCTGAGAAAGACAGCCTAACTGAAAACTTTTTTTTGACACAAAAGAGACTCCTGCTTGGCATTGGGTGATAAATTTCTATCATTTCACCAAATCCAAAGAGAAGTTCCCAAGGCTAAAACAATTCTTACGTTCACTCACAATTATGCAGTATACCAAAGTACATTGTAGAAACATGTTTACTGATTTGATTAAGCAAAAAAGAAACAAAAATAAGAAAAGCATTAAAAGACATGTCAGTGAGGGTCACAACAATGGAATGCAAAGCATCACAAGCATTTCAAGCCAAAATTCCTATTGGGAATGCTTGCTAATGGCATTCTCTTTTGGAAAACAGCTATGATTTCTTCATGTAGATCAAAGCACTAACCTCTCCAGGATAACTCCAGGTCATCTGAACTCTTGTGTTCCAGGCTGCAGCAACAGTACAGTTAATTGCAAGGCTGTCCCCTTTCAGCAGTTTGACCAGACTTGGGGTGCTTAACTGGACATCAAAAATTGTGTTGGCTACATAACACACAGAGAAAGAAAAAATTAACAACCTTACAAAAATACAATGCTGTGTTTGAATGGCAGCGATAGTAGCATGCTACTCACTTTGTCGGTGTGTTAGATATTTTGTACTGTACTTATGCCCATCAATGATTGTCTCACAGCTAAGAAGCCCAATGAATTTGTATGTCGCCTTGGGGATAATAAAGCCTTTCGTACTGTCCCAGACTATTGTCTTCCCATCAGGATTCAGAGTCTCTAGTGGGATCTGAAAATTAAGAACATAGTTTATATAAATTATCCTTTTTTATTTCCATAGAGCTCCTTGCCCAAAAGCCTGGGATTGCCCAATAAAAAGGAATTAAAATAAGTCTAAAAATTGGCAGTCAAAGGAGAAATGGCAATATTTAATTACACACATTTTCCAGTAATTTTTTATCATCTCAAATGAAAAGAAAATCTGGGTAAAGAATCAGAATGTTTTATTTCTTTCTAAGATTACATTATTCATAAAAGGCTGTAATCTATTACACAATAGATTGACACTATCATTAGCACAGGAGATTAATCCGCAGTGCTGTTGGTTTTCAGTTGGCAGCTAAAATGCTCATGTCGGAAACCTTTGCAATTAACTATCCTGGGGTTGCTATTGAAAAACAAATATATGTTTTCTCACTCGAGGTGACAGGCTAATTTCATTTGCTGTCATTTTGTTCCTTTATTAATTCCAGCTCTAATTAATTTTAATGGTTCGTGTTTTATACTGGCTTCTAAGGATCTTGGTTGTTCCAAGGGAAAAAGTTTGAAAAAACATGTGTTCCTTTTCGAAAGCTGAAATGTCCTAGTATACAAACTACTTGATTTCCACATAGCACAGTGCATGAATCTTGAGGTCACAAAGGTTTCTCATGAATAATTATTGGGAACTGTAGTTTCTACTAGTATTACATTTTCAAAAGGGAATATGAATTTTAGTACCCACTTGAGAAACTCTAGATGAACCTAATTTTTAGAGAGTCAGTGCTCAGACAGTGATTTCTGAAAAGCAGGCACATTTAAGGAATCTTAAATCTGGGCACTCAAAATTTAAGAACCCCCAATTTATTAACTGTTTTTGAAACTTTTGCTCCAACAGTTTATTACAACCACTGGTTCAGGTTGACAGTTATGAAATAAATCCCTGATTCCTAGGGAGGTTAAATTTTAAGAGCTTGTTTAGCTAAAGGAATATGTGCAATAAGAACAGAAGAATACCTTTCCCATCTCCACTGTGACGCTAATACATAATGATTGATGTAATTAATTAATATGAATTCATTCATACAAATATGAATTCTGGGCTACCATGGCTTGGGGAAGCATTTGCTACAGACTGAATCTCTCTCCAATGGTGTTCTAGCAGAACCCCTATGGGAATACAGCAATGAAAAACATTGGTTAATTTATATCTCCTTCTGATTCAGCTAATGTGGAAGTGAATATAAATGTCTTGACCATGTGGTAGTGAATTGGGTGAACTAAATCACAGGTATATTTGTATTTAGTAACAGTAACAACAATAGAGTCCTTAGAATATAAGGCATTATTGAACATCAGCCAGCAGGCTGTAATGTAATGGACTGCACTCGGGTGTAGAGCACACACTTCCCTTATGATTTGCATGCTTATTATAGCTTCTTATCTGATGTTGTAAAGATAAAGAATTCTATTTTACAGCAGCACTTTTGTGTTAACAGTAATTATTGTTCACTTTATTCATTCTCCATTTCTGTCTGAGGAAATGGCAGGAGATGAGCAGAGGTGATCTCAAGGGCAGCTCTAGGCATGTGCTGAATAGGCAGCACTGAGGGTGCCACATTTCAGAGGAAAGGCATTCCAGGCAGGAGGAAGCCATGCAATCACAAACCCCCACCCTCTGGGTATTCCTCCCTAAAGGATTGGCTGCAGGATGGACAGAACTAGCCAGGAGACAAGTTCTCTGTTCAAAGAGAGGGAAAGGAAAGAAAGGAAAGAAATACGGTGAGGCTGCTGGCAGTCAACTGTTAGGGTTAAAGATACATCCTTGGCTTGGCTGCAGAAGGTACATGCAGACATACATTCTTTTTCTACAACGCTAATGTACCTATTTGCAGGCATGTATATCAAAAATGTGTAATTCTGCCTTAAAAAGTGGCCTTAGGAGAACATCATTTCAACTAAGTTCCACAATCACTGTCCTTCCTTGTTTTCCAAAGAGCAAGATTTTTGTTATAGTAACCAAAAAGCACGCATTTCATGGTGACGGGACCAGGATAATTAGAAAGCAAAAAAGGTCTGATTTTTGCATGGAGCATCATACTTCTATCATGTTTTGACTCTGCAGGTTTTTGTTAAACCAAAATGAAATCCACGAACACATCACTTGTCAATTGGATACCTCTAAAAAATTATAAGGGCTATATATGAGGCTTGGGGGCTTTATTAAATATATGGCTATAGACAAATTTTACCCTTTAAGTCCTTCCAAAGAGCACTTCTGTTTTAGGGCCCTATGCCCCTCTGTACTTGCTGTTTTACCTTATCGGATCACCTTCTGTACTCACTCTTGTTCTGCCAGTGTCCCTACTCCATGAACTGCAAATAATTTCAACTTTCTGTTTGTCTGTGACCTGCATGTCCACCTTCTCTACAGTTTTCTCTGCGCTGCCTAAAGATACTATTCTGAACTAGACATTACACTCTACTCTTGCAAATCACCCCACGTCCACCACACTGCCTGCAAGAAACAACCCATGACTGAGTTTTTGAACAAGAGAAGAAAAGATCCAGATCATTGAGCTGTTGTGGTTTTTATTGTAGTACCTGGTCCTCATTGTAGACCAAGACCCCGATATGCCAGGCATTGTACATATATAGAACAAAAAAAGACAGTACCCACAAAAAACTTAGTGTCTAAGCATAAAAACAAGTAACCACAAATAGATACAGACAGATAGACAGGGAGAGTACAAGGACACCATGAAACAATACTGGTTAGCATTGCCTAAGTAAACACGGGACACATTATCATTGTTACTTATATAGTCACCATCACAATAGCAGCTGATTTATTCTTGTCCTTTTACCTTCTTTCATTCTTTGCATTTTACTTCAAGTTAAGTCCTAAATTCTTTAAATCATGGATCACATCTTACTATTTCTTCAGCCTCTATCATAATGGGGTTCTTCTCCGGAATCTTTTGAAACTAACACAGTACAATAATCAAGGCACAGTGGCAAAGCTGGCAAAGCATCTTGGTACAACTCCACAGGCATGCTTCCAGTCCTTGCTCTGGATTTACAAAAGTCACTCTTAATCTACCCAGCTATGAATGGTTACCTAATATTTCAGGCTGGGGTGTCAAAGGCAAGCAGATAAGATAGGTCATTCACTTGTACTCTGTTGGCCAGGGAAACAAAAGAGTGTTAGTCCAATGGGCCACTAGGTTCAGGTGGACTTTGACTTTTTTAAGTCAACTGTAATATGTTTCCTTTCTGAGAAAAAGGGGGAACTTGATTCTGTGAAGAGTGAGGTAGGCATTCATTAGCTAAAGCAATCAAGTCTTTTTAGTAGGTAATTCTACAAACAGCTAAGACTTTTTCTTTTTATTATCAAGTGTGGTTACCCCTGTGTTCTAACACCATTGCTGGCTTTCTCTGCAAGAAGAGGGAAAAAAAAGAACAGAAATGGAAACCAAAACGCTGACATATAAATGGTTATAGTAAATCAAGCCAAGAGGAAGAAGGGAGGAAAATGTATATTACAGCTGCTGTGGTACATGTTTGAACTTTGCACTCCCCATCAAAATCACCAAATATATATATATATATAAAATTTGTATCCACAGCCAAATTAGCCAAAACTAATTCCAAATCCAAATGTCCAGAACCATAAGTGGCCCTACTACTGGCAAACATCCTTCACCCTGGGGTTTCAGATGTTTCCAAAGCCTTTGGCAGGCATCCTACTTGCAGGCCCAAGGCCAGATGCTTGGGGTTCGGATGCCCCCAAGTTTTGATTGCCCTTAGCCATAAGGCCTTTGGAGCATGCAAGGAATGGTAGCTTTAGATAACCGCCTTTAGAAGCTATAGATCTGGTCTGTGTGTAAATCAAGGACCTTAGAAGTAAAATGTTCTTCCTATTACTGATTTTGAAGGCTCCTTCTTTTTTGGGTATGGATACCACCTTGTCCAATATGTATCCACTGAGCTAGACTAACTCAAGGTTAGAGCAACACACCATTTCAAAAGAATTAAAGTAAAGCTGCAGTTGAATCTTTGTCATCCTTGAAACTAAACTGTAACAATATTAAGAGGAACAAAGTGCTGTGGATGGTATTCACATGACTTCAGGACTGAACCCATTAACACAGGGAGGACTCTCATAGATGATTCCACTATGACTAAGAAGCTATCCTTTGACTTCCTGGCAATATAGGATACAGAACTAATGGCTCTATAATGCTTTTCTAATTACAAAGGTTCACAGTATGGGAACACAGACTTCTTACCTTATTGCTAAATAAAAACACAAAATGTTGGTTTTGCCAGCTATCCAGAAGTAGTACTTGCAGTTGTGAAATGCATTTAAAATATCTCTTAATTGCTATGGGAGCAAAAGATTGCTTTGGTCCTTGCACATGGGGTTTCACAGAATGACAAATAAACCACTACAGTGATCTAAGGAATTGTAGTTTACATAATCCAGGAAATTCTGGCATGAATTAGGGAGACATTTCTTTTTCCTGGAATGCAAAACGTACATGTAACCAAATCGTTTGGTTAGAACTTTGTTCCCTTAAAAATAGTGGTAGATCTGCTTCTAGTGGTACATGGCTATATGATTCCTGCACCACAAATTCCAGCTACAAGTGCAGTGGGTATTCAAAGATAGTAAGAAAGCACTGGTACATTAAATACACTGAGGTTTAAAATCCAACGTGTTTTTGATACTTCAACTTCCAAAATATAAATCCTAGAGTCCCACTTTACAACATACACACTGCAGCCACATCCAGCGCTCCATTCATTCAACAGAATTTTCTGTGTAGTCCATCTCCGATTCACATTTTACTACAGATTGTGATTTGGAATCAAAATTATTTTCATTGTGCCTGACACCCTGGCCTCAGCTGTGGCTGGGGCACCTTTTACACACTGTCCCAGGGTGTTATCACACCTCCGGGGCGCCCTTCTGCCTCAAGCTCCCCTCTGCTGTTTGTTGCTTGACCGCTGAGAACCAGCAGAGATGTTCTAGGGCCTGTGGTACCTCCACGTCACCTGTCTCACCCAGGTCTGGCCACCTCACAGCAGAGGAGATTCTGCCAGCTAGAAGAATCACACCCTTGTCCAATTATGCACTCAGAATAGATAAATTCCCACTTCTGGAGAAGAGGCCTAACTATATGGTCAAATACCCTGAAATCACTCTTACCCTGACAATACATAAGTTATAAAAGATAGCAAGAAGAGTTCTTATAAAAACAGAAGTAAACATAAGAAATCAGTATCCATAGATATAGACAGATATATAAGAAAAAAATAAACAAGGGGAAATATCAAAACAACAGTCTAACCTTACCCTGCATCTTAAACCTAATCTTACAGCTCCTACCCAGCTCAACAGGTTAGAAAGCAGCTTCTGCCTCCGAGCTTCTGGCCAGGGCATCCTGGAAGTTCTCCTGTGTACTTCATTCAGCCTGCTGGCTGAGGGCCTCAAGCCATTCCCTATGCCCAAGAACAAACTAAAGACCAACTCTGGCTCCTATGGCCAGGCTAAGTACTTGTCTTCATTCAGTCAATTCCATCCTTGTGTAGAGTTCTTGGAGCTCAAATGTTATACATATGAACTCCTACCTTCTAACGCATATCCACTTGACCAGTCAGACTTCTTTACTGACCCACTTATGACTGGAAGAATATTTATAAACTTTCAGACAAAGATTACTAGTCCATTCTTACAGTTCTAATCAAATACTATTTGGTTAAAAGATTTCCCTTAAAAAAAGTATTTCCCCTGCCTGAGTCACATTGGCACACAATATGCACAGCTATGCAAATATAAATTTTCAGTGTTTACTTCTCCAAACCATTTGAGCTTTGATCTACTAGGTGTGAACATCCCTCTGGAAGTCTCATCACCCTCTTTGGTTATCATACAAGAGTATAAAACTACATCCATATCAAACATCATAACTCATGCAAACTTACAAATAACAACATTAGATATTAGTTAATCTTTAGTTGTTTATAAACACCAGGCACTGTATCAGTAAACCTAACTCAGGGAAACGTACAGGACATTCCACAAGCTCTTCAAAATATAGTGGGTTCACGACATTATGTATAGATTAAATTTTTTCCATAATTTTAGAATAAAGCAGTTACATTCTGTCTACTTTTGACTTCCTTTCATATCGTTCAGTAGCTGGAAACAAGAAGAAAAGTCAGTACCCTACTGCCAGCCAATATTCCATAGACCCATCATGGTTTCCTAACCCCTGACTTAAAACACCAGGATTAAATCCCAGTGTAAATGAGCCTAGGCAATGGCTCACTGAAGCCAGTTGATCTATGATGTTTCAGAGCAAATTAAAACAATGGAACTGGGTGTTCTTGTCATGAGTCCTAGAATGCTCCAAAAATGTATACGAGGTACAGAGCAACTTGATCCGGCTTCACCTCATGGAGGGCAGGGCCACACTAATCATATGTGACAGGGTGAGAGAGGGGTCAACAAGGGGATTCTGGGTGAACTGTTTGGTAATGTTTGCCAGACATTTAAGGTTGGTGAAGAAATAGGAATCACTGGAAATGGGAAAGAGAAGTGTAGCTCAGCTTTTCACTGGAAATGGGAAAGAAAAGTGCAGCTCAGTGGGAGTGAAGAGGCAGTCACAATATGTATGTTGTTGTGGCTCACAATGACTTTTAAAAGAGTCAACACTGAGTGAGATTGCACTCAATGGACACTACCATATACAGGTTTTTTTCCCTTTATGCGGGTTCTGTGTGTGTGAAAGGGCAGCGGGTAGGTGCGCAGGGGAGTGGGTGTGTTTATTGTAACAGGTGCATGGTTTCTTAATGTGGTTTTAAGGTATGTGATGTAAAGTTTTATGCTAGATGATGTATATATATATATTTTTTTAAAGAAATAGATTTTTCTTAAAAAAAAATGTGAATTTGCTCTTATGCGATGACCCTTCTTATACCAAAAATTCATTATATGCGAAGTAAATTCACTCTTACGTGATCAGTGTGGTGGAAGCCCGCACATCAGCTGCTTTGTGCGGTGCATTGTGGGAGTGACATGCTCCAAAATATAGTCTCCCATGTTGATCTGCGCTCCTCGCTCATTGTCTGTGACACGTGTTTCTGTAGTTGCCATCCCCATTATGATAGTGCCCTGTGCTTGTGTGTACTGTCTGCTGTTTGTGAGTACCAAAATTGTCTAGTATAAGTGGCAGAAATGGGTCTGGCGGTCAGTAAAGTCGAGGTCTTGGAACATATCCCTATTTGTTACATTGTGAAGTGAGTTTCCTTTATGCAAATTTGAGTTATGTGCCATTTTCCAAGAACACATGAGCAGCCTAAAGCGAGGGAAATAAATAAATAAATAAATAGATCGTCTATTCATGTGGCAGGTTCTCATCAGTGTTTTGGTGCCAGGAGAGAGTGCTAGAATTTGCTCCAGGCTCTCTCAGTGCTGGCTTGATACTGCTGTACTTCCAGACCCGGTGCTTGTTCCCTCCTTAAGAGCAACCCCAATCCCATTTTAAGAGCAACAACAACAACAACAACAAGTTCTAATCAACATCTTGGCCTTTTTGGCTAGGATTAAATGTAGCATTTTTGGCACCAAGAGGAGGGTGTCAGTCCTGGTTCTGGCTCTCCCATGCTTTATAGTCATGCTCAGTGTTGGCTTTACTTAAACAACTTTAGTTAGTTTCCATTACTGAGCCCATGCTGCTTTTGGCAAAAGCATAATGATACATAATGTATTTAATTAGGTTTTGTTATATACAATCGTAAGATGAGGAGCTCTGATTAGGCAAAAAAATCTTGTCTTGTATTCAGGTAAATATAGTACATATAAGCCATAGCACTTTCAGACATATACATGAATTAGAGTACCTTCTTTAAAGTAACAGCAGTGTCTGGAGCTGTGACTCTGCATGGTATGATCATCTCTCTTCCATCAATCATGTGTATAATTTTAGGTATGTCACTGTGCAGCTCTACAAATGGACTTCCTGTATCTACATAAGAAGGATAAAAAGAAGCAGTTAAACATTAAACATTAAAATGCTACGGAAAAATGTAAAGAAAATTTAAACAGGATCTACATACAGATTACTACAACATCTAGAAGACTCCACTCATTTATCTAAAATATCTATGGAAAATGCTTACCAGGGTGCCATATCTCATTTAAACAGGTCTGGTAAAACATTATTTGGGTATTGTTGAAAGATACATTTATCATCCCTTTATAATCACTACAGAGCATTTCTTTATATAAAGAGTTGGCATCATCTTTCATACATAGATAGGCTCCAACAGATATTTTTCTGGTTATTTTTTTTCATATCGGGCTAGAACATAAATTAAAAAGTGTGTTTCCATTCATTTATTCTTTGCTATCACTGGGAGAAGTAATTAGCTTAGTTGGATCTAGAAGCCACTTATCAAGGGACACCACTTTCTAAAATCTTTTTCTGCTCCTCTGGGAGTAAGTGACAAACCCATACCAAATTTCAGAAGCCCTAGCACTGGGATCTTAATACGATCATTCAGACAGACATGGAAGTACTCTTGGAATATGGATTAGTCAGCAGTAACCATTTCTTTCCTTCCACTTCTACAGTACTTACATGTCTCCTGTGTAAGCAACAAGTCCAAATGCTAAAGAAACTTTTATTTCATTTAACTCAATAGTGAAGTCTTGAGAGTACAATTTATTGTACCCTTAAAAAATCATCTTTTTGTCAAAGGACACTGACATAAAAAGCTCATATTTGGGGGAAAAAGGAACATTATTGCTATTTTTGCAAATGTTTTATTGTTTGCTTTCATTAATAGAAATAGACTTAAACTACAAATTGTGGATACAAATCCTCTCTTGGTTCTGATCTGAAAAGTTGGTTTGACTCATTGTAAAGAGAGAGGTTATTTGCATTCATGTATGTTCAGTGAAACAGCTCCTCTTTAAATACATGCCTTTTGCTTCCCTTTCAGTTAACAGCATGTGCTTCACTTCACGTTGTAATAAAAGTGGAGCCTTTGCAGTCCTCATTTCTCATTAAGCTATGCAATAAAAGTATATCTTAGGTGTTTAGTAGGAAGGGAGGCAAATTCTACTCTTATTTCTACTGGAGAAAATTAGAAGTTAAGAGTTACCTTAAAATTTACCCCAACGTAAAGGGGAAAACACAAAGTTTGTAGAGGTTTGATAGATAAAATGAAATTGTCACAAAAGCATTTATAGGTAAATGCATCACAGTACTTTATTAAATAATAGGTGTTTAAAAACTATTGAGCTTGTAAAAGGAACTTATGAGTAATAGAGGATGCATGTGTAATAAAAATACCCTACGGACTTCTTAGTGTAATGTTTCCTTTACAATAGGATTCAAGAGAAGACTAAGAATGAACCTGCTTGCAGTACTTTAAAGAAACATTTTTGTTTTGCAAGAGCTGCAGTTATGGAAGAGGTCATTAGCCCTTTAACATCAGCAAAGTTAACAGACTTACTACTCCCCTAAGGCTCATTCATCCTTGACACAAAATTAAGAGCTGCTTTCCAAAGCCAGCAAACTTTGCAGAGTGGTTTCCTGTATCATAACCTAGTGATCATTATATCATGACAAGTGTGAGGAAGAGCTGCTCTGAAGACTACCGGTACTGTCTGCAGACACAGTGTCACCACTAACTGATGCCAACATTGCAGGAGTGGGGCTGAGCTGACTTAGCCTCAGGGGACCCCTGCCCATCTAAATGAGGTGACAGGAAACCAGTCTAAAATGCAAGCAACATTTTTTTCTTTTATTCTAAATGATGTGCATGCTGGCATTCACACTTGGAGGAAACAGTCAAGCATTAAAATCTCTTTCATAAGGTTCCTTGACTCTGAGTCCAGTTATTACATTGGAAGCAGCTCTTCCTCTGTATATCTGAATTACAGTTGCACAGTATGGCATTTAGACATAAAAAGTCATTTATGCCTACGTCTCAATTCTCATGCAGAATTCCCATTGACATCACTAGGGAGTTCCGCCACGGAGTGAGGGCAATATATGTCCCCGAGTGCTCCAAATGTCTTCCTGCTTTTGATTAAAAGGAATATGCATCATGCTTCCTAGTGCAGTTTTGTTTTCATAATTACTTTGGAGGCTTTTCCTGACTCTTTTTGATTTTATTCTCCTTCCTTCTTACTACTCATAAGGGGATACAGTCATTACTCCAGAACTAGGAGCTGGTGCTGGTTCTTTCTTGGCAAAGATAGGCCATAGCCATCACCTGCACAATTACATTCATGACACAAAACTTTTCTGTTCCACACAATACTTTTTGTTCCCTTCTTTCTCCTCTTCCTCCACTGCTGACAGCTACCTATGGCTAGCAGTTACTGCTATGTTTCCCTTCTGATCACTGGAGAAAAATAATTCCTTCCTGAGATGATGTAAATGCCAGTCTTCCTTAATCAGTTGGCTAGGACTAGGAGTGCAGCTAAAATTACCTGACTTCCTGCCCCTGGTTTTCTGAGCCAACTCCACCTTTTGAGGTTGATTCACCATTCCAATGTTATGCTAGTGTAGTTTTATGTTACATATGCAGGGATCTTGGTTTTTTCTGATGAAAAAATCCCCAATTTTCATTTAAAAATAGTAACCCCAATCCACATTTTTCCATGATTAAAATGAAACACCACTTATATATAGATATATCTGTATATAAGTGGTGTTTCATTTTAAATCACAGAAAATGTGGATTTGGGGTTACTTTTTTTTAACTGGAAATTGGAGATTTTTTTCATCAGAGAAAACCAGAATCTCTGGTTGTATGTAAAATCTGAGGAAACCAGCAGTGAATCAGGCCCTTAACAGAATATGGCAGGGGCTGTTTTTGACCCTGAACACGATATTTTATCTTTATAGAAGATTTTCAGCTCTGCTGAAGACAGATATGCTAAGTTGCTTTGGTTTTAAACATTTAAATTCTGCAGTGAATCGATTGTGTTTATTCTTTCCTGAACAAAACTCTGCAACTAAAGAAAAAAATAAAACCTGAATATTTACATACGATAAAGGTTCTTACATTCTGAACAGTGTATTTTAGAATAATAATTGTGTCTGCAGCTAGTTACCCTGTACTAGGTTTTAGCTATGTTACTCTCAATATTTTTCACTCACAATCAACATGAAACCACAAAAAATATTCAGAGTCACAAAACCCATGAAGGTCATTTCCTACATTGTCGGTGAACGTATATAACAACTATTTTATTCAGTTGGTTAGCAGCCACATTTAAATATGTAAAAAACTTAATTCAGGAAAATATCGTGTCTGATATCAGTAACTAGTCTGTGCTATTTATATATCTTGCACAAGCAATTTGATTATCTCTCACACATCTTCCCAAAAATGAGCAAGTAGCCTCATTTTTATACACAAATTCTTTAACTGCAAATCAGAACAAACAAATAAAAAATGTCAGGAGCGAAGTCCATGGATGAAAGACTCATTGAAGTCTATGGAAGTTTGGCCACTGACCAGTACAGTCAGGATATTTATTTTTATATTGGGCTCATCACCAAGGCAGCTCAGCCTCCACAGAAAAGGTTTTCCTATATTCAGGGCATTCGTCTTCTCCCATTTACAAGGACATTTAAATTGTGTTCTTAGAGATATGTAACTTGATTAAGGTAACTTGATTAAGGTAAGTGGACTCATTTCACATTTCTATTATATAATGCAACCCCATTAATCCACTCTCACCTATACAATGGAGTCACTTGACTTTCTCTGGTACAACTAAAAGGTGAATCTGGTACAATAAAAGTGGACTGTGAACATCTATGGGCAGAATTTGGCCTTAAGTTGTTAAACTAATTCTATCAAGAAAACTCCACAATCCTTGTCTCACTTCTTAGTCTATGAAGAAATGCTCTACCAGGGATAACAACTTCTAAACAATGAAGAATGAATGGTATTGATATGCAAATTAACAATCTCAAATTCAGGGCAAAAATAATTTTGACAAGCAAAAAAGTGGGCAGGGGGTGAATAAATATGCATAATGAAGATAGAAAGTCCTGCTAGCAGAACTCTAGGACAGTTTCATTTTGATAAATAAATTTTCCAAGGGGATGATGGTATAGCATGCTAGACTACTCCTTTAATTCTTAAGGGAAAACATTTTCACTCACGATAGTCAAGGCAACTAGTGACAGTTTGGATAGTTATTGCTAGAACAGTTTCAGGTAGCTTTAGGTACTCATTCTCACAAATGCCATCCCATAACTGATTTCTGGAATTTGCTATTTATTATTCTGAAGTGTTATTACTCTGCACATTATCATCATCAGCGTGGTGATGTATAGAGGCTGCAGTCAAAGATCAAGGCCCCATTGTGTGAACCACTGTATAGACAATGATGAAAACACAGTCACTGATTTCAAAGACCTTGAAATCTAAATCCCTGATACTGCACATGCTTAACTGTACACATGGTGGCAAATCTAGTAGAATTATTCACTATGAGAAATGTTAAGTACCTCCATCTGCAGAAATAGAAATTATATGTTATTTATTTCAGTATTTTCCCAAGGTCTCTGTTTTGTAGCAGGAACTTTTTTATGCATGAAAAATGTGTTCACCTACTGCATATAGCTATAGCCTGGTTTGGTTTCAGCTAGTTTTCATTTAATAACATCAGCATAATATGACTTAGTGGGATGATCTGCTAGCCAAAAATGCTGCTCCTATGGTAACACTGTGCCAAATAGCAAAGACAGGTCATGACAGGGATAAGGAAGATAGAAAACCACCCAGACTGCGGATATTAGGACAGACTATTCCACTGCCAGGTTATTACTGAATTTAAAAAAAACCCCAGTCAAATCTTTTGTTGACTTCCAGAGTATTTTTTTATTTTAAGCCAAACCTTCATCAGCTGAATTTTTCTGACATTGATGCTTCTGATCTTTAAAACCAGTTTTTAGGGAATTGTTTTTAGATCCCCTTCCTGTTCTGAGGC